CAACACTGTACTTTGTACATTATTGTATAAGAGGCTGACCAGGTTGATAAACTCTGGACCAAACCCATACTGATGTAAGGCCTTGAACATGAATTCATGATTTACCCGATCAAAAGCCTTCTCTTGATCAAGACAAACGAAGGCCACAGAATCTCCTTTTTGCTCCACATAATCTACTACATTTCGTAGAAGATGTATGTTGTCTGCTATTGATCGGCCTCTGATAGAACATGTCTGATCAGGATGCACGATCTCAGCAATAACTGATGACAACCGGTTTTGTACAACTCTAGATAATATTTTGTAATCTACATTTAACAGACTAATAGGGCGCCAATTTCGTAACAATTTAGGATTTTTAGGGTCCTTACATAACAGAGAAATACATCCTAGTTTTTGTGAATTGCTAAGAGTACCCAATTTTATTGATAAATTATAAATGTGTACAAAAATATCTTGAAATAGTGGCCAAAACGTTATGTAAAACTCTTTACTTAAACCATCCAACCCTGGGGCTTTATTGTTATCCATCCCTTTTAAAGACAATAAAATCTCCTCTTTTGTCACAGCTCCCTCCAGACTATCAGCTGAAGCGCTATCCAAGAAAGGCAAGTCCTCAATGAATTCTGAACAGTAAAAATCATCAATTTCCTCAGGGGTATATAAGTTTTCATAGAACTCCCTGCAATAGTTACGAATAGAATCATTTTTGTCATAGATTTCTGAACCATTCTCCAAAACACGAATGATTTTATCTCCAGAGCGCTTAAATTCCGACTTTAAGAAATGTTTAGATGGTTGTTCATTATTTTCTAAGACTTGCACTCTGGAGCGGATTGCACTTCCTTGTACCTTATCATAATGAAAGTCATAAAGTTGTGATTTGATCGCTTTTAACTGCTCTACATACTCCCCAGGCCTCTGACTTTCTGCAGTTAGCAGATCTCTGTATCGCCTTTGAAGCTGCTGTAAAATCTGTCTTTTATTGGCAGCTGACTTTTTTCCATACCCCAAAACAAAAGTTTTAATTTGAGCTTTAAAGCTATCCCAGTCCGAAAGAGACAAATCAGTCTGAACATGTAAACATTCCCAAAATTTCTGAAATTCCGACACAAATGATTTGTCTTTGAGCAAGGAATTATTAAATTTCCAATAACCAGGTCCTACAGAGATGCAATCAACAACCTCCAAACCTAGAACACAATAATCGTGATCAGAAATGGAACATGGCTGAACATCACAACTTTTGACAGCCGGTATTAATGGAGCAGAGATATAAAATCGATCTAGCCGACAGCTAACATTTCCACCTCGCCATGTTGTCATAACTTTAGTTTTATATAATTCCCGAAAAGGGTCTATTAATTTGTATAAATTTTGATAACGATTTAGAATCGTTGCCCCCCCTGTACCACATTTTGGGTTCCCCCCCACTTTATCTAGAACAGTTGATAAAACGAAATTAAAATCTCCCCCGAGAACAACAAGGCGACGAGTAACAAAGTAATGTTCTAATGATAACAGGAAATCCCGCCTATCTGTATAATAATTAGGAGCATATACGTTTATGAATCTAAACGAATTATTATCAATATCAATATCTAAAACAAAGAGCCTGCCATCAAAATCATAATGAAATTTAACAATTTTATAATTTAACTTTTCTGAGAGTAAGATACCAACCCCACGTGCATTACCTGTCCCAAAACTCCAGAAGGCTTTACATCCCAATTCTTTCTCTACAGTCTCTCCTTCTTTCACACTTGCCACATGACTTTCTTGTATAAATAAAATGTCCACATTCATTCTCTTCCATTCTTCACATAACACACGCCTTCTGGTCAAGCCCCTCATCCCCGCACAATTTATTGTTGCAAATTTATACATTTTTAGTGATATGAGAGTACTAAAACTGACTCAAACGTATATACATAACATGAAGCCCCCCCTTCATATAAAATTGCATATATCGATAGTTAACAACAAAATATATACATGATTTTAATATACGTACCGCACTATAGAATCCCGGCTCAGAGCCGTCAATACAGTATCCAATATTCAGAATCATTGTCCGGGGGCGTTTCCATATCGTCAACATAGAATCACAAAACACAAAACTGGTATCAAGTGGTAACACTGCCCGGACTTCCGGTTGAGTCTGTGTCTATATCCTTTCCAGGCGCAGTCATCCCCCAGTTTAATTGTTCTCTTCTGTGTGCGTCCTCCATGGTGTCCTTGACCATTTTAGCTGCTGAGTAATTGTGTCTACTAGGAGACAACGGTCGTTTTCTATGTCCTTCTGGGATATCAGTGTCCATTTTGGAATCCGGTGTTGGCTGGTCGCATGGAACCTGAATTACTGGCACATGTTCTGAAGACCCAGTGTGAACTGGCCCTGTCTGAATGGGTTCTTCATCTGGAGGCTGAGTCCCCTTCTCCTTCTCCTTCTCCTCTGTTGGGTTCTGAAGTGACCAATCCTCCCTTGCTGCTGCTTCCTCCATCTCCTTCATCTCCTTCTCAATTTCTTCTTCATCATCTCTAAAGGTGCTTGCCTGTTTATTGTTAGTCACTGCTTCAGAGTATGATTTCCGGGCAGGCCGATAGGAGGTAACTTGTGCTTGCATCTTAGCACTCCCTGAACATTCCTTTCTGACATGTCCTACCTCATGACATTTCAGACAAAGGGGGGTTCTTCCGGCCAATGTGAACAATAAAGGAAAGGCACTACTTCGTCCAGTGATATTCACAAGGTGAGGGATCAAAGCAATGTCTTCATAGTTCATCTCTAAGAGCACATTATATGATCCCATAAAGCAGCCCTTGTCGAACTCCTCTTTGCTAACGTCTTCCTCCACATTTATAACTTTTCCATAGTCCGCAAAGAATCTTGTCAAAAATGCACATCCGTATTCTTCAGGTAGCCAATGAACTCTCACAGATGTTCTCACTTTGTTGATGAGGGAGAAGTAAACACTCAATTTTGGTGACAACTCTTTAAAACCTTCTTCGTGGAGCTCTTCAGCCAACTCCTCTGAATCCAAAGTTAAAAACCATTCTGTGGCTTTATCCCTCCTCGTCAGTCTATTGATACTGTTTCCAAGGAATCCATATAGGAAGGTGAAGAGCTTGTACCTTGTTACGGAAAACCGTTCCGGGCCAACAAAATCCAACTTGACGACCCTTCTCCTGATGCTGGGTGTTGTCTCGGATTTCCTGGGGCCATTACCTGAGCTTATAATGGCTGCCATGATGCACAATACGAGATGGGGGGAGTCCGAAGACAAAGGACAAGATGTCCTGCCCGCCCGTAGACCTGTTTGGAAAAAATATATTACTGCTCGATACTTTCCTGCTGATCGCTGCAAAGCCTGTGCCAGGTAAGTATGCCTGAAGCTGCAGCTTCCTAACCATCACTACAAACATACACATCACCTCACTCAGGTGTCTTGTAAACAACACATCACACATATTCCATTTCAGTTCAAACATGTATATACTCCCCTGTACATGGAACTACATTCAAACGTTCGCTTTATGCAAAGATTGTTGACAGGAAAAACGAGACAGAAATGGCTTGATATGCATTTTTGGCTGCATAGACATGCACCTTGCGCCAGGTACCCAGGGGAGGCAACTTCCATGTCAACACCCAAGTTTCCTTCCGGGTCCTCTCTTTCTCCCTGGGAGCTACTCAGCAGAAACAACACAACAACAATAGCAACACCATCATCATCAACAACAACAACAACTGAACATGTCATGATAGACAAACAGAATGAAAAAAAAAGAATTTCTATTTTTGATTGTTTTTTCCAGGGGAGAGCGCGAACGCAGTCCCCCACACTTATAAATTGCGCACCCGAGTCGTCCACATTTGGGACGATCGCAGGGGTCAACCAAGCCGAAGTGCAATGGAAAGGTCTCGCCCCGGGCCCACAGCCTTGCGGATCACTGTAAAGCCTGTGCCAGGTAAGTATGCCTGAAGCTGCAGCTTCCTAACCATCACTACAAACATACACATCACCTCACTCAGGTGTCTTGTAAACAACACATCACACACATTCCATTTCAGTTCAAACATGTATATACTCCCCTGTACATGGAACTACATTCAAACGTTCGCTTTATGCAAAGATTGTTGACAGGAAAAACGAGACAGAAATGGCTTGATATGCATTTTTGGCTGCATAGACATGCACCTTGCGCCAGGTACCCAGGGGAGGCAACTTCCATGTCAACACCCAAGTTTCCTTCCGGGTCCTCTCTTTCTCCCTGGGAGCTACTCAGCAGAAACAACACAACAACAATAGCAACACCATCATCATCAACAACAACAACAACTGAACATGTCATGATAGACAAACAGAATGAAAAAAAAAGAATTTCTATTTTTGATTGTTTTTTCCAGGGGAGAGCGCGAACGCAGTCCCCCACACTTATAAATTGCGCACCCGAGTCGTCCACATTTGGGACGATCGCAGGGGTCAACCAAGCCGAAGTGCAATGGAAAGGTCTCGCCCCGGGCCCACAGCCTTGCGGATCACTGTAAAGCCTGTGCCAGGTAAGTATGCCTGAAGCTGCAGCTTCCTAACCATCACTACAAACATACACATCACCTCACTCAGGTGTCTTGTAAACAACACATCACACATATTCCATTTCAGTTCAAACATGTATATACTCCCCTGTACATGGAACTACATTCAAACGTTCGCTTTATGCAAAGATTGTTGACAGGAAAAACGAGACAGAAATGGCTTGATATGCATTTTTGGCTGCATAGACATGCACCTTGCGCCAGGTACCCAGGGGAGGCAACTTCCATGTCAACACCCAAGTTTCCTTCCGGGTCCTCTCTTTTTCCCTGGGAGCTACTCAGCAGAAACAACACAACAACAATAGCAACACCATCATCATCAACAACAACAACAACTGAACATGTCATGATAGACAAACAGAATGAAAAAAAAAGAATTTCTATTTTTGATTGTTTTTTCCAGGGGAGAGCGCGAACGCAGTCCCCCACACTTATAAATTGCGCACCCGAGTCGTCCACATTTGGGACGATCGCAGGGGTCAACCAAGCCGAAGTGCAATGGAAAGGTCTCGCCCCGGGCCCACAGCCTTGCGGATCACTGTAAAGCCTGTGCCAGGTAAGTATGCCTGAAGCTGCAGCTTCCTAACCATCACTACAAACATACACATCACCTCACTCAGGTGTCTTGTAAACAACACATCACACATATTCCATTTCAGTTCAAACATGTATATACTCCCCTGTACATGGAACTACATTCAAACGTTCGCTTTATGCAAAGATTGTTGACAGGAAAAACGAGACAGAAATGGCTTGATATGCATTTTTGGCTTCATAGACATGCACCTTGCGCCAGGTACCCAGGGGAGGCAACTTCCATGTCAACACCCAAGTTTCCTTCCGGGTCCTCTCTTTCTCCCTGGGAGCTACTCAGCAGAAACAACACAACAACAATAGCAACACCATCATCATCAACAACAACAACAACTGAACATGTCATGATAGACAAACAGAATGAAAAAAAAAGAATTTCTATTTTTGATTGTTTTTTCCAGGGGAGACGTAACTGTTGATGGCTACTTTCACCTGTCCTCTTGCGTGTGACACATGGATGCATTGTATAATATATTTTATGTGCGTTTTATACACTGTATTATTGCTTGGTCTCACGCAGCCTGGTTCCCTGGGTACGCTGCGCTGGCGCTTCACCTACCCAGGCAATGACTGCACAATAGCCGCCTCCACAAGACGAACAAACATGGCCGACATGCCACGCTTTTACGATAGAAAAACTCTAAAATGGGTGGTTAAAATGTTTTCTTAGCATTTCCATGAATGCTCTTGCAATGCATTTGTCACGAGAATAATGTCCATTGCTACTTTTAGTGAAGGAAAACATTATTTAAATGTGGTGGTTTAGCGGAATTATTGAACGCCCAGTATCCGTAAGAATGGTGTTTAATGATAGGGTCTGTCATTGGTTCTGACATTTGGCCTCTGGATTTTATTTGCCTGAAACGATATTTATTTGGCATTTGTTTTCTTTTTACACAATGAAATTAATCATTAAAAGATATAATATTTTTGGAAACATATTGGATTAATTTCAATCAAGTTTTTCTGAACTAGATATATGTGTGTGCTTGTTTAAATGTCGGATCTGAATAGGATAATAATAAAGAATATGATCATAATTAATTTGGTACAGTGGCATACACATCCATGAGTATTCTATATGAGGCAATATAGCCACTGGGGAATCCTGTACAGAACAACATCAAGAAGTGTGCATACCATTATTATTGAAAAAAAGTTATGATTATAATCATCATGTTAGATGAAATATCACAAAGTATCACAAAGAAGTAACGGGGACATATGCGAAACAGGTAATTAATACCTAAAAGTTACTCACACATAAATGAAGGAATTGTAAATGACCCTGGAAATTAATTGATTACTTAATGAAATCTTTAAATAGGTGATAAGATCGTAAAATTTTTTTAAAGTGACACATATTTTAATCTTGTTAGTATGTAGCTTTATGTAATGGTTTATTTGATGTAAAAGATAGTTTCAAAGGCTAACATCCGCAATATCAACCTGTAAAAGGTGAAACTGTGACAGAGTAAGTGCTTCAACTTTACATGGAAGTGGAAGGGAGGAAAAGCCGACGCCTTGCAGGTGTTTCACTTTCAACACGTCGTTGTTTGTTTTTTGTTTAACGCCGCACACAACGATATTACAGCTACATGTATATGACGGCGGTGCATAAACAATCGAGTATGGACCACACAATCCAATGATTGACATCATGATCATCGAACAACGCAATTGGGGTACGATGACATGCATCAACCAAGTCAGCGAGCCTGACCACCCGATCCGGTTAGTCGCCTCTTACAACAAGCATGGGTTGCTGAATACCTACTGTAACCCGGTGTGTGGTCGGGTGGTCAGTCACGGCAGTGTCAGTAGCACCCTGATGGTTGCTTATACATTTAGCTACTGATTCACCAGACCTAATAATCTACAGGCCATGGTGATTTAGCTTGATATTACCGACAACGAGCCAGGAGTCACATATTGATCTGCCAATGCATATATACAAACCCTGATGGCGCGGACCATTGCTTATAATTTCAGTCATTGATTCCCTTGACTCAATAATCTACAGGCCATGGTGATTTAGCTTGATATTACCGATAACGAGCCAGGAGTCGCACATGGATCTGCCAATGCATACATACAAACCCTGATGGCGCGGACCATTGCTTATAATTTCAGTCATTGATTCCCTTGACTCAATAATCTACAGGCCAGGGAGCTTTGGCTGTATATTTCGGACAAGGGCCAGGAGTCACAATGTCATATGGATCTACCAGTGTCTACAGTCAAACATCTCTGTGATTAACTTGGATGACACAAAGATGACATGTACCATTGCTTATACTTTGAATCATTGACCTGTGAAGATTCTGGGGTAGAACAGGTCTTCAGCAACCCATGCTTGCCGTAAAAGGTGACTATGCTTGTTGTAAAATGCGACAAACGGGATCGGGTGGTCAGGCTCGTTGACTTGGTATATGCATGCCATCGATCTCAATTACAATGGCAGTACGCAATAGAATGGTCGTACAATGTTCAATAATATAATAATAATAATAATAATAATGTATAATTATATGATGACAGTGGTCAGAATCCGTGATTGGCTGGACAGGGAATCAAAAGTGAGGAGTGAGTGAGTGAGAGAGTATCGATTTACGCCGCTTTTAGCAATATTCCACCAATATCACGGCAGGGGAGACCAGAAATGGGCTTCACACATTATTCCCATGTCGGGAATCGAACCCGGGTCTTCCGCGTCAGAAATAATGAGCTTTCCTCACATATCTAGCTACTGGAAAGTTCCACAACGTGCTCACACAAAATAGAACATTAGAGAAGTTCGGTAACAAACTACCACCATGCGCGGAAGTTTACACACCACACCAGCATCTAAATATAATAAGTTCCCGACGACTGATCACTGTTCTAACACAATGCAATGAACGTCTACCGAATCTCTACAGTGAGTGAGTGAGTGAGTGAGTGAGTTGTGTTTAACGCCGCTTTTAACAGTATTCCAGTTATATCGCGTGTCAGCTTAATGTGGGAGGAAAGCCCGAAGTGATCCAGGTCTCAGACGTTTACCACTTCGGTGAAACACACGAGCACGGGTATGGTGCTGACAAACCTAGAAACATAATCGGGGCGAACCTTGATTCGAACCCACAATCATAGGTTTCTGGCGTGCCCAAGGGACGCAACTCTGCACAGCGACTGGGCCGGCCGTGCCCCCCGAATCTCTACAGAAACAACGAACACAGTTACAATCATAGTTAAACAATAAAGTACACTGCCATAAATGATTAGAAAAATAATTTAAGATACCAAAAATAGGTGTCTAAAAGGGGCTTAGCTGGAGCAATTCACAGGGTGTGCAAGTTTGGAGATATTAATTGCGACAAAATGCATAGGGAGGGATCAGTTCCCCCACCTGCAGATTGGGGGAATTTCCCCAATTAAAAACATGTTTGGCCGAAATATGACCGACATAATACTCTGTTTCATTTTGTGACTGTGTGGAACATCTGACTGCATTTCGTTATTCCGTTATGAAACGTTATGACAAGAATCAATGAATGAATGAATAATCTTCATTTCCTCCATTAGTTTCGGAGACACATTAATAAAAAATGATTTTTAGCGTCTAGAAAGTGTCTGAAATGCGTCGAGTTTTTCAATCATGAAATAGGTAAAAAAGATCACTTTGATCCACCTTGTACAAATGGTAATCACTTGGTACCGGCGCCAATACGCACGTGATGTCCTTGGCATAGGATGCGTTTGGCCAAGCAAATACATTACGTACATATGGATTGTTGAAAGACGCATTGACTGTTGAACAATAAGTTTAATTAGATCTCAGCGTAGCATTATGAGTAAGTTTCGCTGCGGCACTCTGCCTTTGGAAATAGAACGAAGTAGATTTGCTGGCCCAAAGACGTCACTTTAAGACAGATACTAGTATGTAACTGTAACGTTGTGGAAGACGAATGACATTTCTAGCTGATTTGTTGTTTCTTTTCAGACCTGTGGAAATTACCACCCCGGCATTATCCTACATTGTTACAGATAATATTATCTTCTGTCGACCAGAGGGCTCTTAATGCGGAACGATTGGTCTATTAAACCCTAGGCACACAAGCTATCCCAAACGTTCAGGAAGAAAACAAACGCTTTCACTATAACCTGTTTCTATTCAGACCTGAGGTACCACCTATGGAAATTACCTGTGACGTAATTAGATAACGATGACCTGCAACTAAGCAAGTCACAGAGCCTGACCGTTTCGTCGCCCCTTACGATAAGCATAGCTTGCAGGGGACCCGGAATCCAAAAATGGTCCTTGACCTTGACAAATTCTATCCAATCACATGCGAGAACGTTGCTCGTCAGCCATCATGAATGTGAAATCAAACTAGTTGTGAAATCGAGCTCTGTGCTCTGAAACTCTTTGCAAATGTAAACAAACCAAATTCATATTTTACACTGTGCATTTTCTACTACTTGGAGAGGTCTATTAGTGTCACTTCCACAAGATGCCATGCCTGACGTAAAATCACACACAACGGCTTACAATAGAAACAACGACAACAAACAAATACATGTATTAATAAACACATCAGATCAATTCTGATTACTTGTAATTGTCATATAAACAAGCTACTGAATAGCCACTTCATTGTATCTATCACTTTAAACTGAACATATAGTAAACTCGAAGGGACCACTAATTTTAGTTCGTTATAACCGTAGTTCGTTATAAGCATATATATACAGCATATATACAACAAATGGCCCGGACAAAAAAATAGTTCGTTATATCGGTCAGTTCGTTATAAGCATATTCGTTATAACCGCATACTACTGTATATTACTGTATATTGCTTTGTCAAATTGATCATAGTTTTATCAAATATATGTGCACACATTTCAGGATTTAAAAATAAAAAAAAGGTTTATGGCCGTTTGACTGACGGAGTCGACAGACCATTGATCTTTAACGATGCACAGGT